CCCTCCAAATTTTAAAAAATTCATTGAACACATATTAAAAAAAAAAAAAAAAAAATATTCCCTCTACTACAGACAAATATCAATATAAAATCAATAAACGCTAAATTTCACGAGTAGCAGTTATTTTATGTATAAAGCTTGATACTAAAAGTTATTTTCTTAAGATAATTTAACACCAAACTTGCCGAAAATCATAAGTATAACTCATTATGTTATTTATCTAAAATCATTTTACGCAGAACACTCTCATTAAATTAGCATTGATACCGTACTGGTATCTGATGTCATCTGTCTAAAGCTGACACTTCAGCTTACAATAAAAATATGTATACATTTAAACACATTCGCACAATAGCCTTTTGATATATTTTTTTATGCACTGCGCATTGCATTCGTATATTGTGTCTATTACAATAATAGTTATCTAATAGGATACACCGTACCATTTTAATACTTAGTAAAAGTGTGCCAATTGAAATAAAATCCCATCGGTTATTTTATACGTTGCGTACACAACAATCGGAAACCAGTGTGTTCATTCATTGGGATTGTGCTTAACCTCCACAGTCATAATAAATCTAAAAAATATTTGTCGTACAATTATCCCAACGTTATCGGGCGGCGTATGGAGTGCCCGTGAGAAATCATGCAGCCTGTGTAATTTATATGTGCATATTATATATATTTTAATAGACACGAATGGCTGGTGTTTTTCAATATAATTTTTACACGTAAATTAGTAGATCGAATTGAACGCAGAATAATAATTTCCTGATCGTTTTTAAGTACACACGTTGGTAGAAGACGAACAAAGTTTTACATCGACCAATGGCCATAAACATTGATTGGTAATGCGGTGCGCTTTTGAAGCCCATCATTATTAATATTTTGTAGATTTACAAGACCGTCAAATAATTTGTTGCAATTGCAATTAAAGATTTCGCGAAACCAGTCGGATTAACATTTGATTTACCGTTCGGTTTAAGAGACGTGGGCTTTGCTCGGGTAATTATCGTTAATAATTGTACGCGATACTTTGGCGTTTTCCCACATCTCTTAAGGAATTACAATTACTAGTGACTATAAGTTGTACACAGAACCGAGAAGACCCTTAATACACTCGGTATATGTTAATTTTTCTAAACGAAGCGCCATAAAATGCAAAACAACATAAATTATTAAAATGCAGCAGTAGTCAGTTTTTGAAACTACTTACCTATGTAAACAGTCAACGGAGCAGAAAACAATTATTTAAAAACATTAAAAAATTATTATGATTTGAATAGACAATTATTTTTACAATTTTACCTATGAATAAAAAGCAATCGAGTTGTCTCGGCAGGTATTAATAATTTGCTTTAAAGTCACCGTGTAATTTTCATTTGCATATATTGTGTGAAAATACATTGAGTACACATTACTCAAAACAGGACGTTATCAAGTTCCAAGTGTATGGTACAAAATAAACTAGTATAAGACAGATTTAAAACTTTTTTTTACCTAGGTTATAATTGATATTATAAACTTTTGGAGATTTCAAATTCAGATATTAATTTAACATTGTTTTCTAACTAAAGTGTTATTAATAAAATATTAAATACTATCATTAGAAAAGTATAATTAAAATCATTTTTCGTAAATATTACTAAAATATATTAAATTTATTAATATTATTACTACATAATTACCTCTTGTAGGTAATATTTTCTTTCCGTAGTGAGTGCATTTTTGAAAAATTCAAACCAGATTCCGAACTTATTATATGCGTGTAACAAGTATTAATTTTCTTTAGGTTAATTAAAATTTAACTTACGTCATGTTAATAATATTCTACAAGTAATAAGTGTATAATTAATAAGTTTATTTGAGAATAAATTCAAGTTTAAAATCAAACGCATTACATAGCACGTGATACAAAATAAGATTAGATATTCAGCCGATTCCTTTTCAGCGGACCCTATTCCTCAGAAGTTATTATGCAGAAATGAAACTTATGTATACCATTCAACACTAAGTGTTTATATTGAAAAATGAAGTAACTCTAAATCTTTTTAAATCGGGCCGTTTTAAGACACTTAAAGTTAAAGTGAATCTCGCGAAGTGACACAACATTTATAAACCGTTTTTCCACTATTAAATTATCAATAAAAAAACATTTCATCACGTACATAAATTGGATATAATAGTTCAGTGTAATAATATTATGCCGAAGGGTTAAGTAAATAAAATATCACATTTAAATCTAAAAAATAACGAAGAAAATTATGATTAAAATAAATGAAACGACGGATAATAATGATATTCTTGATAATTAAAAGTGATTTTTTTTTTTTTTTACATTATTCATAAACAACAGTTTGATATACTTTAACACAAGTAGCGACGGTGTTGTGTTACATATTGTGTGTACATTTGTATCCAATTCGCAGACACTTATAAATTACTCTAAAACACTCTGGGGGGTCTTAAATAATATAAAATATATACTACAAGTATGTACTGAGTACCCGTTTGCCGGAGATTAAAATTCCCGGACAGGTAATGGAACACTGCAAGAAAATCACTGCACAACATGGTCTATGTGTAATAGATTGTTTTTTACTTGAAGTACAATTAGTATTATGAAATAAAATGTTATTGTAGTAATAGAAAAAAATTAATTTAAGTACGTTCCTGGATATTGCGATTTCTACGATGAGATGAATTTTTTTAATAGATAACACGAGATAAAGAGAACACAACAGTAATGACAACATAAAGTTTGTCGACTTTTATTTTGAAAATGGACACTTTATTATGTATCCGTTGGAGGGTATGTAGTGCTTAATCATACGAATCGTTGGAAATCAAATAAATGTGAATCCATCACTGAAACTAAAACAAATATTAATGCATTAATGATATATAACTCGGTCGTTGCTGACCGAGTAAATTGCATTAAGAGGACGTTACTCTGTTGATTATCTTCTCGTGTACGGCCAGCAACGACCGGAAGTGTTTTTCAATGTTCGGGATAAAATAACATCGATTGAGTCGTTTCCGTTTTAAAGTTGTAAAATATAACAAAGACATCAACAGCATAGTACAAAATACGCGTTACCATGGCAAAATCATCGGAGTAAGACTTTAATAGTAATGCAGTATCTATTTGGAGAACATTACAGAGCACACAATCAATGGCTCAGTTTTTTTGCTGGGAATTTAAAAAAAAAAAATAACTAAAAATAAAAAATATAAATTTGACTTTCAAAGTGACATTGAAATTTATATTTAATTATGGTTATAATATTTAAATAAATTTAAATCGTATATGGCTAAATAATAATAAATACATTGTTATTTCGCCATTATTTTTGCAACATAATAATTATTACAGTTTTTAGATCATAAAACGAGTATTATTATTATAACTTAGAAATAAACAATACTATTTATTTCTTATAAAAATATATATAAAATAAACTTTAATTGTTTAGTAGTGAGAGAGTATTTATTTATTTGTTAAATATTTAAATAAGTACTGTGTATTTGATTACACTGTATATTTTACAGCACCAGACCTAGACTATACTTATTTGGAGCTCCGGGACCCAAGGTTTTCATAAAAAATGTAAA